TTAATGGCGATTAATATTGTTTTCTTTTTCTTTTTAATTTCTGTGATAACAACAGAAATATCGAAAAGATATAAATAATTTAAATTTTAGATGGTAAAATATTTGAATAATTGTTTTAACTTCCTTATTGGAATGAGATTAGGTAATACGATAATAAATATAAACATTGATGCAATTTCATAATTTTACGTTAACGTGTATAGATAATAACAATTAACAAACAATTGGATAATATTTTAAGATTTGTAAAGTGGATAAGTTAATTCGATGCGTTTTCATAGATATTATATATATTTAAGTATATATAAAATCTCGTATGAGATCTCGAGATATCAAAGATATTTAAATGTAGATCGTATAATATTTGAATAATTGTTTTACTTTTTTATTGGAATAAGAATGAACGCAGTTGCGTGTACGATTAAAGTAATACAATAATGAATGTAAACATAGGTACGATTTTATAATTTTACGTTAACGTGTATAGATAATAACAATTAACGAACCATCGGATAATATTTTAAGATTTGTAAAGTGGATAAGATAATTCGATGCGTTTTCATAGATATTATATATATATTTAGGTATGAAATCTCGTGTGCAAATGAAGCTCGAATTAAATGTTAGAATGTTCTAGAGGTTTTGAAACGGAAAAGGATTTCAGGAAGGTGTCTCATGGTGCTTAACAGGAAGCGAGAAATCGAGATAAGTTAGAGGAAAAGGAACGGTGCTGTCGCGATAAAACGTTGGCCCGTTAGAAAAGAACATACGATGATATTGAGAACGCCTTTTCTCTCTCTCTATATATATATATATATATATATGTCTCTTTCTAACTTCTATACATGTATTTGTTTATATGCATATGATATGTATGAATGTATGAACACATGTACTATATGTATGTCTCTTTCTAACTTCTGTAACTTTATACCTATACATATATTTGTCTATACATATACATGTATGTATGTATGTGTATGAATAGATGTACTATATATATATATATATGTGTGTATGTTTTTACCTTGTATATCTTTAAATGTATATATTTAAGTATAAATGTGTATGGTTATAAATACACATGTTTGAAATATATATTTTATATATATATATATATATATATATGTGTATATGTATATGTGTATACTTAAGAGCCGTAAAACGCGACTTAGGCTCGCGTGGGAGAGTCGTCTCGAAGCGTAGGTAGCCAAGCAAGTAAGAAAGCAAGTAAGAAAGCAAGTAAGAAAGCAAGTAAGAAAGCAAGCAAGCAAAGGGCACATCGAGATAGCAAACGTTCAGCACGAATCTTCTCCTTTCGAAAAAAATTAGTATTATTTTTACTATACGATCTATTCTCAAATACCATACTACAAATATTCCGTGTATGATGATGATGATGATGATGATGATGGTATAGTAGAAACGAATTTTTTTAATTTTTATTTTTTTGTTCTTCTTTTTTTTTCCATATAAATACATTCAGAAAAATGATGACGTTAAAATAAATTAGTCAGTAATAAGATGAGTGTTTGACATTGATGTTTTTTTAATTGTTTAACTAGGATTCATTTTATTTTATATCTTTTTTTTCTTTTTATTAAAATACATCCAGAAACGTGACAGCGTTAAAACTAGATTCATGAATTTGCTGATGTTGAACAATAAAATTGTAAGATTAGTGTCTGAAATGTGTATTTAATATTTGAATTAAATTTATTATGAATTTTTTTGCTTTTTATGTCGAATGATAAGTAACACGAGTGTGTTAAAGATAAGAATATGTTGACGTTATTTTTGTTAACAATTTTTTAGAATAGTAAGATATTATAAGCAGATATTATAAGCAGATATTTAGAAATTTGATTTGTTAGTTATTTCAATTAAATCTAACGTTTAATTTAATGATGTGTAATTTATGAGTATTTTTGTGTGTGTGTGTGCATGTGAATATAATTCAGAATATTTTGGGAACAAAAAGATATTAATTTTATTTCTTTTTTATTTACACACACACACACAATTAGATATATTTATCATAGTAGAGTATAAATTTATTAGCCTCGTGAATGAAAAAAAAAAAACACATACACACACAGAAAAATTACATAATACTGATATATAAGTGTTATAATAAATAGAATTATATGGGAGAGATAAAAATATTGTGATATCACATTGATGATAATAATAATTTATTAATTCTACTATACTAATGTGTCTATTTCACAGTGAATATATTAGATTAGTCAGAACTATGAATTGATTTCTAACGTTGAATCGAACGATAAGAAATATATCTCTATGAATGAAAAAGAAAGAGAGATATAAAGAGAGAAAGAGATGGTAATATTAGTGATAATATTTAAGAATATATACTAACAGCTCGTTTAATATTTTTCTTTTTATTATTCTAACGTTGGAATGTCTATGGTAGTGTGTATATTAGATTAGTTACCACTACGAATTGATATTTCTAATGTTTAATCATACGATAAGAAATGTGTAAGAGTATAAGAGAAATAGAAAGGAAAAGTGAATAAGCGAATGCGCGATGGTAATATTATTTGTGATAATACTTTTAAAAATACTTAATAGTCGATTTTAGTTCTTATTTTTATTATCCTAACATTGGAATGTTTGTATAGTTAAATATCTATATATATTTAATCGGTTAACACTGTGAATTGATTTCTAATGTTGAACCGTTAGATAAGAATTATCTGACAATGAGAAAATATATAATCTAACTAATAAGTAATATTATATTGATAATATTTTATAAGATTACACTGGTCTGAATTTTATTTTTTGTGCTCCTTGTTATTTTATTTGAAAACATTGGAATGTTCTATCATCGTGAATATATATATACATACATACATACATATATATATATATATATATATATATATACATATAATTGAGTATGGAGAATGACGAGAGAGAAACACGAGAGACAAGTTTTACGCAGTGTTAGAGA